CAATTCCCCAAACAAAAAACACAGATTAACAAATTGGATTAGAAAACAGGATTTATCTTTCTGCTTAATCCAAGAAACACATATTAACATCAAGAGTAGACATCACCTTGAGGCTTAAGGATGGACAAATATATTCCAAGTAAATGGGCCCAAAAAGCAAGCAGGTATAGCCACTGATGTGTTTTTAACAGAAAACATAGACTTCAAATGAAAACTAATCACCAAGAAAGAGAGAGAGAGAGAGAGAGAGAGAGAGAGAGAGAAGGAAACTATATACTCATTAATGGAAAAAATCTACCAACAGGATAATGTGATTATAAATATGTGTACACCAAACATGGAACACCCAAGTGCATAGAAGAAACACTACTACAGCTTAAATTACATATGGACCCTCATATACTGATAGTGACAGACTTCTTCCCCCCCTCCGCCCCCCGTCAGGATTTTTCTGTGGCTTTGGAACCTGTCCTGGCACTAGCTCTTGTAGATCAGGTTGGTCTCGAACCCACAGAGATCTGGATGCCTGCCTCTGCCTCCCAAGTGCTGGGAATAAAGGCATGTACCACCACCGCCCGGCAGTGAGAGACTTTCATACTCCACTCTTGCCAACTGAGAGGTCAACAAGACAAAAACTAAACAGAAAAATGCTGGAGATAAGATGACTTCATAAATCAAATAAACCTGACAGATATTACAGGACATTTCACCCAAATACAAAAGAATATAACTTCTTTTCAGCACCTCGTGGAACTTTCTTCAAAACTGACCACATTCTTGAAGACAAAGCAAGTCTCAGCAGATAAAAGAAACTTGAAATAACATCCTGCATCCTATCTGAGCACTGTGGATTAAAACTGGAGAATTATTGAAAAAAATCAAGACAGAAATGAGAATGGAAATAAAATTTTAAAATTGAATTACATTGAAAATATGACATAACCAAGCATATGGGACACGGTGAAGGCAGTTTTAATAAGCAAGTTCATAGTTGAAAAAAATTAGTGAGGGAAACAACCTAAATGCCCCTTGACCGAAGAATGAATAAGGAAAATGTGGTACATTTACACAATGGAGTGCTACACAGTGTAATAAAACAATGGTATCTTGACATTTGCGGGTAAGTGGGTGGATCTATGGAACATCATATTGAGTGAGGTAACCCAGACCCAGAAAGACAATTATCATATGTACTTACTCATCGGTGGTTTTTAAACATAAAGAAAACTAACCTACAAATTATAACCCCAGAGACCCTGGATAACAATGAGGACCCTAAGAGAGACATACATGAATCTAATCAACATGAGAAGTAGTAAAAGACAAGATCTCCTGAGTAAATTGGGACCATGGGGACCACGGGAGAGAGATGAAAAGGAGGAGAGAGGCAGGGAGGGGAGCAGGGAAAATGTATAGCTGATGTGGGAGTGTCATATATCAATCTGTTGATTTCATTGGTTAAGTTATAATAAACCAACTGCTTGGCCTCAGCTTGGAACATAGATGGGAGGAGTAAACAGAATAGAATTCTGGGCGGAAGAGGAAGTGAGGTCAG